AATAGAGCACAGGTTCGATTCCCAGCAAGGGTATGGCTAGCTGATGAGAGCTAAATAGCTTGAAATAGATCTATACTAGTCTCCCTTTATTTATTTATCAGCATAAATATAACATATAACACACACACACACACACACACACACACACATATACACACACACACACACATATATATATATACACACACACACACACACAATTTAGACTATATGTGTGTGTGTGTGTGTGTGTGTGTGTGTGTTTTATTTGTGCTGATAAATAAATAAAGGGAGACTAGTATAGATATATTTCAAGCTATTTAGCTCTCATCAGCTAGCCATACCCTTACTGGGATTCGAACCTGTGCTGTATTGCATCTTGGGCAAACGTCTTAGCCATTAATCCCAGTAAGGGTATGGCTAGCTGATGAGAGCTAAATACCTTGAAATAGATCTATACTAGTCTCCCTTTATTTATTTATCAGCACAAATAAAAAAAAACCACAAATATAACAAAGGCAACAGTAAAAATATTGGGTTTCTGTCGTGATGGACTCTTGTGACGAGCCGATTGACAGATAATGGAAGCAGTTAGCTTCCTCCCATAAGTGGGGCTTACCAGGGGTTGTGACACTATATATATATATATATATATATATATATATGAATAATTGCTGAAGGGAATAACAATTCCTCAACATGAATTTTGCAAAAGTATATCAACTAAAATTATACATCAATTTGAAGAAGATTGTAAAGATTCTAAAAGAAAACAGAAACTATATTATCACACTATGGAATATATCCCTTGAAGTTACAACCAAAACAATTGGATAGAATGTTAAATTATACAGTGTTACTAATGCACACACACATATCTGCTGAAAATTAAACTCAGGTGAGATCAACATGGGACATTGCCTGAATTTTATGTTGCAAAACACGGAACATTGCAAAAAAAATCAATGTTTTTTAATTCTACAACAGCTGATAGCTAATTTTAAATGGATTTTTATTAAAATGTTTTTAAGGCAGTACCAAACAATGCATATAGAATAATGAAATATTGCAGTAATATAAACTGCAACAAATATTTACTTAGGAAAATTATCATCTGGATCTAAGATCCACTGACCTATTTAAACACCTTAAAAATCCCATATAATTAATATTTCTAGATTTTAAACAGATTAAAACTGCAAAATATAAGTACAATTAAAATCTGATAAAATTGATAAAATATCTAATAGACATATGGCATGCACTACAGAGCCCAAAAATTAAAATAGGCACCATAAAGGTGAGTTAAAAGTAGACTAGAAGATGAATAATATCTACTTTTGGGGTCAAATCCAAGATATTAAATGTTATTTTACTCTATCATCAGAGCCAAAATCAGTTCAGCTCAACTTTTTCATACCTAATTTTAAGAAAACGAGGAGCGAATTTCAACAGAGCAAATAATTCCAACCAAGTGTCTTAGAAATTTGGACTGAACCGCTTCTAGAACAAGGATATCTTTATAGCCATAGCACTGTACACATAAAGTGTAACAAAAGTCTTAATTCTTTAGTTCTGAAAAAATTAATTGCTACAGGCAGTTAGCACTTAGTGCCATGTCTGATTTATTGTGCATGGAGTGTAGGATTTGAAGATTGACAGTTCCAGGATATAGAGAATTGAAAATAGGTGTTCAAAGGCCCTTTATCTGCTCAGTTTGGTTATTGCTGATTGTACAAATATAACAGGAACCACCATGCCGCTTAGCAAATACATTGATTGATTTCCAGCATTTAGCAAATACATTGATTGATTTCCAGCATTTTGGTCTGGCAATATAAAGGTAGCATCTGTAGCTCAATCACAGCCCCATTTGGAACAGGACCTGAATGTGGCTCTCCCAGGGCTTATCTGAAGCTTTCCCCGTTAAAAGTACTGGCTCAAATAAATCTATGAGAATGAGTTCCTAGTCCAATTAGTATTGATGGACAGAGAGCATTGATAGAAATAATTTCCCATGGAAGAAGCAACTCACTTCCAAATTATCCAATGTAGTTTCTCATCGTAATATCTAACTATATTGGGCTCAGACAAAGCCTGGAGCAAAGTCAAGCAAAGTGACTTTGATCTTGATGTAGAGAGTAATAAACACCTCAGATCTCTGCTACAATGAGGTTGTGGATCCCAACTTTCAGGATCCCCAAATACTTTCCTTGTATACTTGTACTCTTACTTAGGAGGCCACTCAAACTGACATGCTTAGAAAACTTGCTCGCAAAGATATTGACTAGGAAATTCAATAATATCCCCTATTCGAAGCTCTTACACATACACTCAGATACTGACATTGAGATGGTGTTTTTGAAATGCTCTGTTATCTCTGAAGGATGGAGTTAATCTCTCTTCCATTTACAAATTACTTGATCCCTACAGGCAATTGTATGCTTCCTGTTAAACACTTAGGACACTACAAAATTTCTAGGAAATTCTGTGCCATAGCAGTTGCAGCTAGAAATTGTTGGCTCTGGATATATTACTGTATGGGACAGGTTAGTTTTTGCTTTGAATAGACTTTTATCCAATTTTTTTCTTTATTTTGACATTATTTTCTTCTCTCTCATGCTTTGACTTTTTTGAATTATTGTAACTTTTAAAAATAACATGAGAGAATGAAAAATAAGGTGGATTTACACATTACGCTAATCCATGATGCAATTTTCTTGTTTATTAGATAAATATGTTTATAAATCCAGCTATTTTATTTTAATTCAAATATGTTCAAACAATAGTTAAAACAAATTATGACTCAATATTATATATGGTTATTTAAGTTTATCCAAACTACTGTATGATTAAAACAAATTATGGTTACTGATATGTGCATTATTTGCATGCAAACCATAATGCATTACAAATAGTCTTAGCCACCAATTTAAGATCAGTGTTAAGTAGCTCAGGAATACAATAACAGCCAGTTAAACTGTGTTGCATTTTCAGTATGATTAAATATTCCAGCACAGCTTTCTAAGAATTGGTGAATAAGTAAAGATTCCACCTCACAGTTTTAAATGGGTATCATCCTTGATAACATCAAAAAGCAGCAAAACATCCAGAAAAATAATGGGATTGCATTTCATTTCCCCATTCTGTTTATTTGGTGTTGGCACGAAAAATGTTCATGATTAGAGGAATGATTGCATTACTCTTAAGGATGGAAAGGATGGGAGGATTTCTTCTTTCTGTAGGATGAGGCAACTTGATGGATTCAGCCTTCTGTCAAAAGTGGCTAAGGGCACACAATATTTCTCTCTTTTCAATGCTTCCCTTTTTAAAGGGTCTTTGGTGCTGAGTTTGATTGTTTTCTTGCAGACATTTCATTACCCAAACTAGGTAACATCATCACTGCTAGCATTGATGATGTTACCTTGTTTGGATAAGGACACATCTGCAAGAAAACAACCAAGTTCAGAGAGCACCAAAGACCCCTCATTTCAAACCTGAGTTAAAAATATTCTTCTTTACTGCTTCCCCCTTTCTCTCTCCCATTCTTTTTCCTCACATCTTTGTTTCTCTCTCCCAAGTAAGAGCCTGCAAGAAATGAACAGACACTAAATATCTGAATTTACAGCATCTCTTTCAGGGAATATTAAAAATTAGGCCAATTGTCACAGGCTGCTCAGAAAAGATCACCCATCCTTTGAAAAACATGTGAAGATAAGATTCATAATCGAAGGAGAAAAACATTTTCCCCTAATTCTACCATTATCATCACACAGAGATTAAATTAAGGCAATGAACGTTTACTATTTTTGTCTTGTTCCCATTTTAAAAGATATTATTTTGAGTTTACAAATATACCAAAAAGTAACAGAAGCAATATAAAAGGTCATTTGAAAGTTCCCAATCTATTATTTCATTCTGCAATGAAGAGGATTCTTATAGCGGTGTCAGCTACATCAGTCAAGACCCCAGCAATCCTAATGCCCAGTAAAACCAATCAATATTTTAGAACTCATAGCTTTTAGTCCAATTGAATCTGGATATGGACAAGTGCTATTCATTGGTGGAAAGATTGGATGTAAAATAATTGCTTTCACTTTTGGCTTGGACCACCTACTGGTTTCAAGCATGAATGCCAAGATTTTTCTCCAAGGGAATTTTATCATCCAAACTGCCTAACCTCATCCATGGAATTTCATTTCCTGCTGGTTAGTCTCTATTTGTGCCCCTTTCCACAGCCATAAAAGGAATAATGGTACCTTTAAATGTGGGAACCTTGGTACTAGTGCTAATCCTGGTGATGTTACCTAGCTTGGGTAATGAAACACCTGCAAGAAAACAACCAAACTCAGAGAGCATCAAAGACCCTTCAATTCAACCCTGATCTACAAACATTCTCCTTCATCGATACCTTTAAAGCATCTCCAAACCCCAGGGTTGCCTACCATTAGTTTTCTTCTCATTGCATAAGCATTCTTTATCTACTGCAGGGGTTTTCAACCTGTGGGTTGGGACCCCTTTGGGGGTCGAACGACCCTTTCCCAGGGGTCGCCTAAGACCATTGGAAAACACATATTTTTGAAAAAATATGGAAAACATAAAATAATCTTATGGTTGGGAGTCACCACAACATGAGGAACTGTATTAAAGGGAACTGTATTAGGAAGGTTGGGAACCACTGATCTACTAGGGTTTTTTTATTGAAGCCAATGGAAAGAATACAATAACAGTATGGAAATCTATGAAAGAATCTGCTGTGTCTCATCACTGCAAAATACAGAAAAGACAATTTACCCCACCATGGCACGATCCTGCAGAAAACACTAAACTTCCCTTTTAGTTTTGGCCTCCATTGTGATCTGCTTGCTAAGGATGGAAGGCTATGCCTTTTTTGAGGTGGGGAGCAGTCTGCCAAAATATTGCCTCTCATAAATGCATAGCTTGCAACAATAAAACAAGTCGACCCTAAATATAACCGATTCAGCCAAGCATCTGGCCAACAAATAACCCAAGGTACTCACACATTTGTCTGAAGCATCGTCTTCCGAACTGAACTCGGAAGCGGGGGGCTGTCTGAACGTGCAGTTATTCGCATTCTCCAGCAGCTTTTCAAGAGCAAAGATGCAAAGGCCCGTGGAAGTCGGGGTGGCGGGACTTGAAGCTGAGCCAAAAATCCCGGCCCAGAGCCCGCGTTGCTCCAGGTACGCCGAGGAAAGAATTTTGGTCTTGCCGCCACATCGCAGGATCTGGCTATTGTGCCTGAAGGTGTTTCGCTCGTACAGAGCAATGAGCATCTTGGCCTGCATGCTGTCATTGTTATGATAAGGAAAAAAGAAGTGCTTCTGCCAGCGAAAGGCATCCTCGAAGTGCAGGTTGTAGACGTTCTTCATGGCCACTTGCCTGTTTTCGGCCACGCGTTCCTCACCTTCTTTTATGAGGAAGACCGCCTTGTTGGCGTGGCTCGCCGGGGGGCTTTCGGGGCAGTTGTTCAGTTTATGGGTCGTGGCCGCGACCAGCGACCAACGTGAGTCCTTGTCGTCCTCGCAATACATCAACCCGACCACCGCGCTTTCCGACGCGTAGGTCACCAGTTCCTCGCCCAACGTCTCGTTCAAGCTGACATCGGCGAGGTTCTGCAGACGGCAGACGCCTTGCGGCTGAGTCCAACAGGTGAGCAGGCGGTCGCGACTGAAGGGCAGCAGCAGCTTGTTGACCGAGGCCACCGACTCCCCGCAGGACGTGCCCGACTTCTCGCAGAAGCGCTTCTCCTTCCACGCCAGCGAAGGCGCCACTTCGTACCAGCAGTTGCCGCTGGCCACCAGGAAGCGCTCCCCGCTCACGGCCAGGTTGGCAACGGCGTGAGGGAACTCGAGGGGCCCCTGACCTCGGCCCCCCGCCGCAGCCCAGGCTAGCAGCAGCAACAGCAGCAACGGCGGCGGCGGCGCGGCCAACGCCGAGCTCCCAGGGTCACGGCGTGCTAGATACCTTCTCGTGCCCCCCGACCTTCGGACCATGGTCCCCCGTCTGCCCCAGCTACCTAGGGCTCCTCGACTAGCGGGAGAGGCTCCGCTACCACGGACATGCAAGCAGCTGCGGCACCGCCCCACCCTTCGGACGAGCAAGGAACCGCTCCCGCGGCTGCCCTTCCCCCTCTGTGGCTTCCTCTGTGCCTCAGCTGCCTCGCGCCTCATCGGTTCCTCTTTTTCCCTGGGAGGTGGGAAGCCCTCCTCGTCTCCTTCGCTTGCAGGGCCGACCCCGGCTCTCCCCTCTTTCTCTCCCTCCTTCTGAGGGCGTGCCAGCCGGAGCGCTCCACGTGCTTGTCGCTTTCTTCCCGAACCCTCGAGCTCCCTGTCACCCAGGCGGGAAACAGGCTGCTGCAGATGTGTGCCGTTCTCCTGGCGGAGCTGAGGCCAGCTGGTTATTTAAGGAAGGGTGGGGGGCTGGATGGGTCTCCTCGCTGATGCCAGAAGGTTCAATTGGGGTCCTCGGCCTCCGCTCAGCCCAGGGTCTGCCGCGAGGTGCCCCTTCTAAAAACGTTCCAAGGCTGACTCCCCCCCCCCCCCCCAGCCATTTCCCCTCTTTAGCAATTTGCAGCATCAACCTACCAGCCCTGGTGCAATATAACAAGCAGGCTTGATCTGCCCTCAATAGACCAGTGGTTTTAATTAACTAGAGGCGAAAATGGTCCATGTGGATGAAAGACTTATGTAAGTAGGAATAAGGCTTGTAGGGGAGCTTGGAGACCATTTAGTTCAATTTTCTGCTCAGAGCAAGACTGTACTAGAGCATGTTAAGATGGCCATTCCAGCCTTCCTTCAAGCATCTCCATTGGGATAGAGACCACCCACCCAAGCACTTTACCCCACTGTTGGGCAGCTTTTTCCAATACATCCCCTGCCCTCATGCCTAGTTGAAATCTACCCTCTTTTCATTTAAACCATTGTTTTATTTCCTGTCTCCTGGAAAAAAAAACAATTCCAGTCCATCTTCCACAAGACAGGCCAGCAGGTATGTGGAAATGGCTGTTATATTTCACTGCAGTCTTTTATAGTGCTGCACAGGCTAAAAATACCAAGTGTTCTTGTAATTTTCCTTCCAAATTTCTTGCCATCTTGGTTTCTGTGGACATCCTTCATTTTGTCAGTGTCTTTCCAAATTGCCGTGCACTAGGTATTCTAGGGCATGGGGGGGTGGTCAAAGGTTGCCATCACATTGTGTTTTTCCTCTTCACGGAGCTGGGGTAGGGATGGCCTGCATGTGACACATACAGCTCGCAGGCTGCCAGTTTGACACCCCTGGTCCAGGGGCATTCAGTTGACCAATGCGAAATCCTGTGCAATGATTATTTCTTTAGATTTGACACTTTAGATCTTGACACTAGACTCTAGACAACAGTTGATACCAGTTGTCAGATCACAGGCCAGAATTACGTTTCCTTTTCCTGTAACTATTGGACTCATGTTCAGATTTTGAGCCTTCAAGATACCCCAAATCTTTTTGTATGACATCTGCCAAGTATGTTACCCCATTCTATTCATATAGCTTTGATTTTCACCCCATTCTATTCCTATGGCTTTGATTTTTCTATTCCTATGGCTTTGAATATAGAACTTGCCATATTCAATGGCAAATTGAAACTTATCTTGCCACTTTTCTACCATTTTTCAATCTATCAATGTATCTTCCAATCTGAAGACTCGTTTTCCTGGTTGTTCAGACTGTTTTTCAAGATGCTGTATCCCCTTATCTCCATGTTAATTCATGACAAACTGTTAAATATAATTTCCAGTTCCAAATCCAAGTCATTTACAAGTATGTTGAACAATGTAGAAATTTCTCATACGCTACTTATTCTTTCTTTCAGCTTTACACAGTTCCATTAATATACACTTATTCAAACAGTTCTGAATCCATTTACTGATAGCATAGTCTAGTCCAAACATTTCCATCTAGTCTATTAGAATCTCATGGGAGACTGTTGAATGCTGTGCTAAAGTTAAGATACATTATGTTCACTACATTCCTATGATTAACTAAACTGATGATTCTATCAAACAGAGAGATAAAGCTAGTTGACATGACTTATTCTTGATAAGTCTGTGTTGATTCCTGCCAAATAATCAATTTGTTTTCTAAATGCTCACAAATTGATTATTTAATAATCTGTTCCAAAGTATTGTCCAGCTTCAGTATCAAGCCAACCACTCTGCTGATACCCAGGTCTTCTCCTCTCACCTTGGAATAAAGAAATGCATTGTTCTGCTTTTGTCCTTTGACAATGAGCTCCATGATATCTTAAGGAGAATAAAATGGATGCTGACATGACATTAATAAGATCCTTCAAGATTCTCAAAATAATTGTTCTGGTCATAGAAATTTGAAAGATTAAGAGTAGCAAGTGCTCCATAATAATCTTTACTTCCTTATAGTTGCCATTGTTTTCTTGAGTCAATTGTTCTGCTTAGGTCCATTTAAACACAGTTTGGAGCATAATCTTGCAGTCATATTAAGATAAAATCAATATTAAATAATTACAGTGATGCAGGGTTATTACTTATACTCCTTATAAGTTAAAAGACATTTGGGTCCAAGTCCTTTGGATTCTGTCACATATTAGTTACTAATGAGGCATGACATAATATTTATGAGCTTCTGTAATTAACGTTATAGGAGGATCAAATATTAAGATAATCCTTCTTTTGGAGAACCTTGGCAAAGTATAGTAGTGTGTACTAGAGTAAAATTAGTAGAATAATATATATTACTAGTACAGATAGTCCTTGTCTTGCAACAATTCCTTTAGTGACTATTCAAAGTTACAATGGCAAAAAAGTGACTTATAACCATTTTTCACAGTTACGACCTTGGCATCCCTATGGCCACATTATCAAAATTCAGACGCTTCATATTTATGATGGTTGCAGTGTCCCAGTGCCACATGATTCCCTTTTGTAACCTCTGATAAGCGGTGGGGAAACCAGATTCACCTAACAACCGTGTCACTAACTTAAAAACTGCTGTGATTCACTTAACAATTGTGGCAAGGAAAGTCATAAAACAAATGCCTCTCTTAGCAACAGAAACTTTGGGCTCATAAGTTGAAAACTACCTGTATTATTTGAGGAACTGTAGGTAATTTCTTTTGCCTTAATGTGACTTGATATCTACTGAGAGTCTAGTAGCTCTAAGTGCTTCACCAGTATTAGAGGATTTAACATTCCTTTATAAAAATATGTCTATAAGGCTGCACTGGAATAACAAAGCACAACTTTTAACACTTTAACTTTTATTGCTCAAAGCTGCCTCAAATATAGATCAAATCAAATCAAATCAAACCTTTATTGTCAATGCACAACATGTGCACAGTGAAATTGAATGAGCCTTCCTTGGTGCAGCCCCCCCCCCCCACCGCAAAACACAAAATAGATCTCAATAACTCAATAAATGAAAGAAATAGAATCCCTAAATTCAAATAAGTAAAAACTAACACACATTCCCATACACCTATATGTATGTAACATTATATTATATTACATCAGTATGAACATGTTGCCCGTTGCGCTGGCCCTGCAAGTCTATCATATTAAGCCTAATTGTGGTGTTATGTTCAAAGTCTGACAGCCTATAAAAGCTATTTTTCATCCTATTCGTTTCGGCTGACTATGCTTCTATATCTCCTACCTGATGGTAGGAAAGTAAAGAAGTGCTGACCAGGGTGTGAATCATCCCTGAGGATTTTCCTCACTCTGTTGAGACAGCGGGTCCTGGCGATTTTGTCCAGTGGGACATGCCATAATTTTTTGGGATAAGATAACAAACACCATACAGAAACACTGAAATAAAAGTTTGCTGAGGCAATCTGGCTACAATGAGGAAACACTGATTCATTCATATTGATTCTCTTTTCATGGGGAGTAACAGACATATTAACTTCTTTATACATATACAAAATGGGATTGAGAGGTTCTGGCCCTTACAATATGGGTTTCTAAATTCTCTCCATTTTTTACTTAGCATCTACATGAAACTGCTTGGGTGAAATAATCGGTTGCCATGGAGTAAGGTATCATCAGTATGCTGATGATACTTAATTATATCCCTCTGCCCCTGGCAAAGTAAGTGATGCTATGGATGTCTTGTGCTGGTGCCTGGAAGCTGTGGGGGTCTGGATGGGAAACAACAGGCTTTATCTGAATCCTGGCAAGACTGAATGGCTCTGGGTTTTGGAGCCTTCTGGATCTGGGATTTTACCTGTTTTTGGTGCTCGATGGAGTTACATGACCTCAGTCAGATCTGCTGCACTATTTGGGACTCCTTTTGTAGACCCAATAAAAAAACATTTTCCAGATCATTCTCTTGTCATGATGTATCATATGTATTTCCCCTTTAATTTTTAAAACTTTAGCCAGGTTTGTTTGTACATGTCCGATAAAATGGTCCTTTTCCAAATCACTCTCTTGTCATTTCTGGTTCAACTTTCTATTCTTTTTGTCTAATCAGGCAAAGTTTTCTCCACAACTGTCATTCTCTCATTAGCGTATTTTGAACATAACCTACCCATTTAATCAGACATTATTACTGACAGCATTTATATTGTACCTACTAATTTCTAGCTCTACTCTTCAAATATCTCCTTTAATATTCCCAATGTTATGATTGGAAGTGTTATGCCATTTTGTACAGCCTCAGGTTTTTTCCCATCTATTTGGAACCTTTAGTCTTCTCTATTGTCCAGTTTCTAAAATCATAAAGCCACTTATCTATATTATTAGCCTAAGTTCCCACAAGAAGATATTTTTAATAGTTAATTCCAAAATCTTAAAATGAAAGTCAACATTCCAAATTTAACTGGACTCTTATTTTGTTTACAACTTTCTTAGATCAATTTTATTTAGCTATCTGCTATTTATTTCAAACTCTTTTAAGTTCTTAAGCATGTAATTATTTTTTTCTTTTGCTCAATGCTTCTGCTGCCTGAAAATTGTGACAGCAATGGTGTGCCATATGTGGAACC